AATAAATTAAATTCTATTTTAGGGAAGAATTCCGAGATTTTTATAATAAAAACATCAAAATCTAATTATTCAAAACCTGAACTAAATATTATGAAAGTCAATGTTAAGTATAAATCAATAGTTAAAATATGTGTGACTTAGAAAAAGAAATTTAGATTTTCTATACAAAACATTTATTTTATTAAATTCCTGACATTTCTGAACAAATATTCATCTATACTATGAAACAAATCACTGCTCTTTAGGTATTTTATGAAAATATATCAATTCGTTAAACAATTTCATATTAGAGTCGAATATATCCAGTCGTTTGACGGACACATTAATTAAGGGATAGTTTTTCCATTAATTTGGAAAATGATTTAAACGACAGAGGATTTACTGAAACAGAAGATAATGGCCGAGTAATGGCAAACAATTAGTCACTCAAACAGGGTTTTTGTATTAAATTTAACGCCACACTCGATAGCCATTGTTGGGATACAAAATACATGCCATTATTACCATTTAATATTTATTATAAATAATACAATGAATGGCACTATTTTTCTCTCTTCCCTGTACTCCGCGAATTGAATTAACAGTCACTGTATGGAAACATTACTTTTTCTGGCGTACAGACCCTAATAGGAATGGACTGTATTTGTTGCAACATTTAAGTCAAATAAATTATCTCATACTTTATTATTTATAGATTTACTCGACTTTTCTCTTTCTCTTATTTTAATGGCTGTCAGACATTACATCTCTGGTTATATTTCTTTACACTGAGAAATATATATAAAACTCAAAATAATATTATTTGAGACGTGAATCAATTTATAAATAAAACGATTGATCGTTTCCAAGCAATAAAACTTTCTCTGATCACAAAACCAAAGCCAATAAATCAATTAAATATGATATACTCATTAGATATTTGACACCTTTATGGTCATAATTTATTATTTCACAAAATATATTTAAATATATTTACATTTATCTACATAATAGTCAATATATCTTTGATCATAACCATTAACTAAAACATTTTATTTACTCGATAAGTTTTATAAAAACATAAAAGAATTGAAATAATTTAAAACATACTGTATGATATTTGTTATAAAATAATATTTTAAGATTTATTTTACACTATCAATAATAAATTAACTTCACTATTTGATTTTAAATATACAGTATTATGCTAAACTCAATTTTCTTGCTATAAATATTATTTTTAAATTTAATTTAAAATATAGAATATTTTTCCAGACAAATTTAAGCGTTGAATGCATTTATCATTAAATATTAATATAAGCAAATAAATTATATTTGTATAAATTAAACTCATCGATCAAATAAAAATCTAATCATTTCTACTAAAATTTAATTTAATTCTTTCGCATAAACACTAAATAAATATCAGAGAATATATTATATATATATATATATATAAGGTATAAATAAGTCAATACAGTAATAGAGAGCAATGAGTTAGCAGTGAATTATTTAGAAAGTAGTAATTCTTTGAGAAAAATTATTTGGTTTCGTAATATAACAAAACATATAACAACAGAAAGATTGTAGGAATTATTTCTATCAAAAGAATTAGTTCTCAAACTAAATGTAAATATTTGAGAAAATAAAGAAATTTTTATTACAGAATTAGGTGAATGAAAAAAGGGATAAAACTATTGGCGCAAGAATTTCTCGCAATTGTTAGGAAAATATATAATGAAATATTTGTTTGTCACGAATCCACTAAAGCTCTCGATTTTTTGCTTAATTCATGTGAGACTCAAATTAAACAAAAGAGAGTCAAAGAAGAGAGAGAATGGAAAATATTTGATGGATTTTGAAGTGAATTAATTTCTTACAAAGTGTTGGCTCACTCTCTCCAACAGATATTCTCTGTCTTATTTCCAGTGATATATTGTTTTTTGAATACTTGTCTTAATTTGATTGGTTTCTCCTCTTCATTGTAATAATGAATAAAATCCTATCGAAACGAAAACTAAAAATAACACAGTTTTCCAGACACTTGACTCTCTCTCTCTCTCTCTCTCTCTATTTCTAATGATAATTGTTGTCCATTAGTGCCAACAAATTCTTCAGGAAGAGGAGGATTTGTCCGAAATCGTACAACTGGTAGGAAAGGCCTCTTTGGCCGAAACCGATAAAANCTCTCTCTCTCTCTCTCTCTCTCTCTCTCTCTCTCTCTCTCTCTCTCTCTATCAAACATTCAAACACTTTCATTGATTAAAAGTTTGGATGAAAAGTCGTTTCAATTTGTTTTTTCAATACTAAACGGAATAATAAATATTCAGTCTTTTAATTATCTGACTGATCAACAAAATTAATGAAAATTCTTTTTTATAATTAATGCATACAATGTATATACACTACACATTACTTGCATGTCTTAAAAACTTTATATTTTCTTTTTTATACTGAAAAAAAGTTTTATATATTAAAAACTTTATTAATTCCAAAACATGTTAAATAAGATAGAGTAATCTGAAAAATGTCAAAATTCAAACCAATTTTGTAAAATATTGCAAGGTATTTCAAATATGATGTTGTTGTAGAAAATGAAAGTAATTTAAAAATATAAATGACTAGTTTTTATTTGAGTGAATGTCGATTTCAATTTAAACTTTTTCACGCATTTTACTCTCAATTAGAATTAAATTTCTAAACTAAATTATTATTAGTCTATATTTCAATGTATATATTACGCTATAACAATTATAAAAAGTGTAAAAATAAAGTACAGTGAGAGTGAGGAGTGTTAGTGAGTGAGTGAGTGAGTGATTGAGAGAGAGAGAGAGAGAGAGAGAGAGAGAGATTTTAATTAATCTAAAATTACACATCCTAGAATCTAGGACCTAGATCATATAAAAGCTACAAATAAGTTCAAAATCGGTGGTTCTTTGCTATAACTAACAAAAAGGCGATTATTATTAGACTACAGATCTAAATATAAAGTCTTTCTTTGGAAGTTGTATTTCGTTGGATATATGGGTGGAAATGCGTTCAACCATTGCTTTTATCGATGAATATTTTGCGCTCCATTTATCTCTTCCCATGATTTTGAACACACCGTACAGTGAAAGGAGGGATCGATAACCACCTGATTCTTACAGTTTTGCCTTCAATTCTTAGAAAATAAGCACATTTTTGGCCATCGCTTCAAATCTACATAAGGTTTGCAAATTCTTCATTATATTTACATTTCTATATATTTTATCGTGAAATCCTGTGAAACACAGAAATCATTAAAATTTTATTGATTAAGTTTTTATTTAAACTTTTTCATAATATTCTTACGTCTCCTTTGGCTGTAAATTTGATTTACGTTTGCAAACATTTACTTTAGATATATATTATTATTAAAATATACTCTGATTTTTGTAGGAAAATAAATACATATTTTTGTAAAAATAAATAAGTCTCGATTTACATGAAATTGATCCTTGCACCAATAAATTGGTTCTTTAAATATTTAATACTTGTTTTTATTTTATTTAAAATAAATTTCTAAAAATTTAATTAATGTTTTAAGTAAATTTTCTATAAGATCCTACCATGTTAAATATTTGATGCACAGTATGCAGTAATATAGGCGTACAGTATAGTAGTCCAAGAATTGTGGGATTCTTTAAAACTATAATTATATGCGAATACGGAATGTATTGAAAGAATATAAGAATATTTTTATGTCAATCTTATTGTGATTGAAAAGTCAAATAAATATATTCATTGTATTTACAGCGAGTTGTGAAGCGTTTGTCAATCTTATTGATAGGCGACTCGTATCCAACTGTTTGTTGAAATGCAATATAAGAGACAGTTCTCTAAATAAATCATAGAATCAATTCAATCATGAATTGAAAAAAATTATGAAAAACGGAATAATTTAAGCAAAATGTTGGGAACTATTTTGAAACATAAATTTAATAAACAAAATCCAAGTCCTATACGTTCGCGGAATACTTAAGTATAGGGAATACGAGTTGATTAGATTTGAGACCAAAATGCACGGCATTTGTCATACTTTATTAGAATTAGTCAAGTAATTACTGACCCTTTTTTGCCATTGCTTTCAAGCAATGAATACTAAATATTTTTATTTTCTCTAATTTATATCAATTCTGAGTTCCATTTATAATATTTTTATATTCAATGTCTAACATATATTTGAACCTAAAATTTTAAGAAAAACAAACTTTAAATTTAAATTAGAGTAGAGGGAGAGTAATAGTATGCTCTCGAGGTATGTGTTTAGATATTGATTAACCAAATATGCAATTTCAATTCATTTAGAGATCAATATTTGATTATAGATTACAGATAATTATAAGATACAGGTATTAAAGGTATAGCACACAAGTAATAACATACTGTATACGGTAACAATAGTGATTGTAATCATTTCAACATTTGTAACTAATTTTTCACTTAAATCGAGATAAAAGTCAGAAATAATAGAAAAGATTGTGATTAAAAGCCTCTAAACTATAGGAAATATGTAGATATTATATGAATACTGATAATGTATACATTGATAAGATGTTGTCAGTTTATGTAATAGTGTACATCATATGTTTATCACACAAATAAGAATTGTTTAAATTCTAATAACAATTAAATCACAAAAATAATGTCTAAATATTTTTCGTTTATAACAAAAAATAAGTCCAATTAAATGTAATTATGAAATAATTATAGCAAAAGTTTGATTAGAAGGCAGTGAACAATAAACACAATCCTTGTAATTATTAAACACACGTTTAATATCTTCGCTTTAATTAAGGAATGCTTTTTCATAAGTCCTGTATATATATAAACAATAAAACCATTGATTTCTTTAATCATTTCATAAGACATCTAATAATTCAATGATCTTTTTATAATTTCCGAATAAATGAATGTAAAAAACAAAAAATATTTCAACAAATAAAAGATGTTTAGAATTATATTATAAAATAAAAGTCATAATAATTAATAATCTTATAACACGTGTCTAGTCCTCTAGTCCTCTAGGTTTCTGAACGCCGTCTGCATATTCTCGTAGAGCTCTTCAAAATCCTTGCGGATCTGCGCCTCGCCGTCCTTCACAGGATCCTTACCACACAAATCAATCAATCAATCAATTAATCAGACAATCATTATAGCAAAACACGTGTCAATTACCTTGAACTTCATTGAACTCAACTGATAGAGAATGTCTCCCATGGCCTCCCGAATGGTGGCCCAAGTGATGCGGTTCTCTCCCTGTGCTGTCGACTCGACGGCGTGTTTCGCTAAGTCGTAAAACGTAATCATATTTCGCAGGATTCCCACCGTCTTATAGAAGGGGCAGAACCTGTCGTAAGGCGTGTAAGAGTTTTGTTGCAAATAGTCTTCTTGGATGAGTTTCGCCACTTCTAGCGTTATTTTGTCGGTTTCGGCCAAAGAGGCCTTTCCTACCAGTTGTACGATTTCGGACAAATCCTCCTCT